CTTCCTTTTCTTTCTTCCAAATCTCATGTAGCCCAGGCTGGCTTTAAACTTGCCATGTTGTCTAGGATGACTTTGAGCTTCTGATCCTCCTGCCTCTACCTGTTGAGTGGTCAGATTGCAGTCCACCCTGCCTGGTTTATACAGTGTTATGGACTGAATCCAGGGCTTTGTGCATTCTAGGTAAGTACCCTACCAACTGAGTTATATCTTTATCCCTCAAGTGGCAGATTTAAAGCTATATTGACTTAAAAGCCATCATCTTTGGTATCCAGATCCAGACACTCATGACCTGATCTTCCCCTTTTCCACTTGGATGGCATGTTACATTATAGGAGAGTCTGGGGCAGGCATTGCGAATTCTGATCTTATAGTCTTTATTCCAGTTAACCCATATTCCATATTTTTATGGTATTTGTCTAGAGGTAATCTTCAATCACAAAACAGTCTATATTTAAATGTGTTATAAATGCCATCCAAGTAAACTAAAAGCATTAACAGTTTGGCACTCCTGGGTTTTCCTTCTGTCTGGACAAGTCGCCTTAGGCAAGCCACCTCTGATTCAGTTTTCAGTAAAATATAGCCTCTTTCAGCACTATAAATGAGTTTCTGCGAAGCATTCCCCTATAGGCAAACTAGAAATAATAATATTTTACAGAATTGAGGGCACAGGTATTAATTATTTCAGGTTCTAAGCAGGGCCCGGGCAGCACTGTGTTTGTGGGACAGGATGTTCATTTGTTGCAGTGCTTTGTTCTCCTTGGTAATTACACATCATCTAAAAAGTGTATCTGAAACAGAACTTCATGTCTAAGCCTTCTAAATACCATGTTCAGAGGATAACAAGTTCATTATGGAAACACGGTTTTCTTTATTAACATGTCCTTTTCTATGAATACTGGATTGCGAGAACCTTGAATTCATTCATGAATGCGACCATCCAGTGTGTATTCTGCTTTGCTCCTCTCACTGTTTGCAATTTTGTCAGTTAATATAATAAGATTGATTCTGAAAGGCATACCCTCTGGGGGTGTTTATTTCTTTTGGGTTCTGTGTTGATAATTTCAATAGCTGCCACGTTTGCCTGTCTCTAATAGAAGCATCCAGTTCTTTTGGTGAAAGTGCGCTGCCAACCGTGGATAATTTAGAACATTTATTAGCTAATTCATCTAATGCTACTTAAAAATATATTTGAAATCCTTGCTTATTAGTATCTTCCGTATAGAATCAAAATCTTTATCAGAATGATGTTTTACTGTATGAAAAAAATCCAGAGAGATGGAAGGCCTTTGCAGCTCTAATCCCAGCCATCATGGGTCAGGACCTGGTGTTCATTTACCCTTTGGAGACCACAGCCCACTTTTTCCTGGGATTGTCTTTTCAATATGTGCCTTGTTTGGTGATTCACTGAGACTGAGAAAAATGCTCCCTTACTTCTGACGAGGATGAATGTTTACCTAATTACTCTGTAGAACTTAACCTATTCTTGTTGGTTTGGGGGATCTTAAGCCCTTTTAGAAACTGGCCAAATCCTTAAGACTCTTTCTTCCTGTCCTGTCTTATCTTGTCGCTCAGCAAAACTGTGAACGAATACCAACACTGACTCAGAGGTCAGCTGACACCCCAGCAAAGGCTCTGCCCAGAGGTCAGTAAGATTTGATACAATTGCTCTGCTAAGGCTTCCTCTTTTTTTTTTTTTTTTTGCTTCTTTCTTCTTCCTGTAGAAGAGGAGTCTTTGTCTACCAGAAAGAAAAATGTTAGGGCACCGTCAAGCGTTCACATATGATCCAGGTGTCTTTCTGGTAAATAAGGAAGTCATATGTAAGTGTATATGAGAGTCACCCTGTTCTCACCAGTTGGAAGGATATTCCTGGCCAACTTATTTGCCTGAAAAAAGATACAGTAATTTTTCTCTTATGAAGTTGCAGTTTGTGACACAGAACAATCAGAGTTCTAGCTTCAAGACAGTTCTTTTGTATCAAGGAGTGAACTGCAAAAGTATAATTAAGTGCACATTAAAAAAACCCTATTAGAAAAAAAAAGACAAAAGCCCAAACTCCCATTGAATGCAGTCACACTTTTTAGACACATGGCCTTTGGGATTTACAAAGAAACAGATTTGGGAGGTTCATTTCGTAAAACCATCCTGTGAGTCCTATCTTTGTGGAAATGGATGAGTTCATCCACCTGTTTACTGATTACAATTTAAAAGGAACTTTGGTAAGCTACTCAAAATTCCTCCACTTTATCTGACTGAAAGCAGGTCTAAGACATTCAGCCCTGTGGTTAATAAGCCCACCTGATGTATTGTGCTGGCGTGAGGCTCGTCTCTCCCATGTCCATCTTGTGCTTTGAGATGTGCAGAGTAGGCATTGAGCCTCTGCTGTAACCAAAACTGAGATGTAAACCTTGGACAGCTGGAGGAGCAAGGACGCAACATCACCACAGCGCCTCGACCAATGGCAAGGACTTTGTCATTTGATGTCAAGGAGGTGGAGAAATGAAGGGAAGAGGATGAAATGGGATAGGCACACTTTCTGCGCTGACCAGTGGAGGATGCACACCAAAATAGGTCTTTCCTTGTGTTGTCATTGTATCATCAAATCATTGCTCTAAGAAAGGAAGGGAAAATCAAAAGGGAAACTGAGGTAAGAAAATCCCAATGGTCTACTGGGACCGCTGTCTCTGGGACCCCCATCCTTATGCAACCCTCTCCACTCAGGAGCCCAGAGGAGGCAGCGAGTTGGATGGATGCCCTCCACCTACCCCGGCTCTGGCCTCCACCTCTCTGCTCTTCGACTTGACCTCCTTCCATCATTTTGAAACAAGAACAGGTCCCCAGGCTTCCATTCAAGTGAAGCCAAAGTCCATTATCAAGGTCTGCCCTGAATAGTTTTGTTTTAAATGTCTGACTTTGCTATGGCTCTCTTAAAAGACCAGAGGACCAGAGAGGAGCAATTTGGGTCAAGCAGCACAGTTCTTGCACCTTCTGGCTAAGTGGAAGGTGGCAGCTCCTCCCGGGAGGGGCTGAGTGAGGTGGGGTGATGCTCTGCCCCCTTTCTGAGCCCTCCCCACTGCCTCTAAAAGCTGACTCAAAACAGACTGAGGAGGCCTACAGACTGCCTTCACGTTAAGCTGTTTTTAATTTTAAGAGAATGAAAATTCTCTATTTGGTAATTTCCTCTCTTGTTCAAGGTTTGTCCTTTTACAAGGTTGTCCCTTCTTATCAGCTTGGCCACTGTTGCAGCCATTGTAACCCACATGTTGACAAAGGGGGTGGGGACGCTCTCCAAAACAAAACCACAGAAACAATTTAAGAAATTTTTTTTGGCATGTTGCCATCAAGAGCACAGTTGTGGATAACAAAGAGGGCAACAATACAAATAAGACTGAAAAGAAGAGCTGGCTTTCATCTTTTCAGGAAAATTAGTAACTGGAAGATGATTCCAAATACTTTCAAAGTTATTGACAGATGCTGGGATCCTTGTGCCTTGAAGGAATAAGTTGATTATTCACACGATCAGTTTGCAAATTTTATTCTACTATTTTTGAATTTATTCTTTAACAACATCTACTAACATGTCACAAAGGATGTCAGCAAGCACTGATTTCCAGTGGCACAATGTACATGAGCTTTTCTGGCTGTTTCTAGTCTAGATCTGGGCATGCTGCACAGGGTCTGTGAGATGCCCAATTGCTTTTCCTTGTCTGACTTATTCTGGAGTCTGGTCATCTTTGGACACTCATTACCTAATGGTAATGTAATCTTTAACCACCTGCCAGGGATTATGCCAGATTCTGACCACATGTAGAGGAAGACACCATCCCTCCTCTTAGAGCTCATAATGGGAAGGGGTAAATAAGGGATGTTCAGGGAGCCCATGCTGAGAGATATGGGCTGCAAAGTGCTCTTTGTGGACAAGGAAGAAGAGCTCCCATAACTGAGCAGGGGATAGAATGGCTTGACCATGCTGTCCAGCTGTCCACAGAGGATGATGTAGAACATCTGTTTGGGAAGGGCATGTTCCTCTAGAATATTCTCATCCAAAATGTTAATGAACTTCATACTGGGACTTGAGTTCCATCCCCAAGATATTTCTTGTCTATGCAAATATTCGAACCTTTGAAAAAAAATCCAAAAACAATTCT